GAGTGAACAAATAGTTTCTTATTTAATATCTAATTATAATCGAAAAACTACGTTGTACGTCTGCCTGCATGTAGGACGCTTTAATGATGCTGGCAAACTTTGGCTCTAAAAGAAGGTGAATTTCAGCAGGCCACTTATTTTGATTTGGTGTTTTTTGGTGAATTTCCCATAAATGATGGCATGACGGATTAAAACTCTGTACCGATTCATCATTTTTGTAGGCACAATGCATCACACACAAGTCTTTCAATGTTGTGTGGAGCCAAGTAACCAATCGCAGCATGAAACGTGTATTTGCCATTACAATCGGCCTCGTTGCCTATTTCCTGTGCAAGGGGGCACTTGTGGACAGTTGGTCGTACCAACTTTTTTGCGTCTGTTTCTCCTCCTCTCTTCCTTTGCATCACCTCCTACCCTTTTCTTTCGCTTTCTCATTTTTCCGTTCTCTCAATCAAAAGCATGCAAAAACTGCCAGTTAAATGCATATATTTCCAAACACACACACACACACACACATGCCCACATGGGCAGCTGTAATTTTCACCTACTCAAGTTTCATCCGATACCTCAGCCTTCAAGCCCGAGCCCTCGAGCTCAACTGAGCCGCCGTGTTGAGTCTCGGCCGAGCCGGGGTCCTGTGGTGTGATGTGTTTTAAAACAAAAAGTCCCATTTCCCTAGTGAATGGAGGCCGAGTCTGTTGGATTGGCGAAATGGTGGGTTGAATGGCCGGTCTACTTGTCTATATTCACACTTCAGCCTCACGTCTTCCCAACCAAAAGACCATTTTTGGTATGTCTGCCCGGCAGAAATGGCCATAGTGACGTAACAGTCAGCCTGGAGAGACGGTTGGCTCGGTTGAGTGTTGATAATTTCATAAAGTCTTGTCGAGAAAAACAATAGAAACCAACCAAACACGCGAACACAGACAGGCACCCTTTGACGCCAGGTTAAAGAGGCCAACAGATGTTGTTGGTACATGGTCTCTCGGTTAATTAGACCGTCTGGCCGAGGGCAGCGTGTCACTTTACGAAGCCAAACCAATCCGCTTCCTCTCGTCTCGTCTCCTCGGACGAGGCTTGTGTTGTTTGGTTTATTATTTTTTTTCAATAACTCCACCCAACACATGCGCTCAGATATCAGCCATTTCGGCAAACCGAGTCCCCATGACAGAGAAGAAATGAGTGAGTCAGGCCGAGGGGAACAGCAGTTCTGGCGTACCGAAGGTGCTGTGAATCTCGGTCTCGGACCATTCATGCCAAAGCTTATGTCAATTCGGCTCGGGTGGCACGAGATCGTCTTAACTCGTCTCTGTCTCGGCCTCTTCCGTTTCCAGCTTCGCC